TTCCCCTGAATTGATGAACATATGAAAATAAGGAGGCATTGCACAACAATTTTATCTATTATTTTTTTTAATACAAACAGATACAATATGAATATTTGAAAACAATAATACTTATGATACAAAATAAGAACACAGATACGATACAAATAATACAAACATTTTTTTCTACCACTTTTTGACAACAGTAAAAAAAGAAGAAGAAAAAGAACATAAATGTAAGCAGTCATATGAGAATCCTTTGATAATTAATCCTTGAAAGTGATTGAAATAAATATTGTAAATAAAATCAAATTATTAGGTAAATAAAAATGATTCATAGAATTTAAGAAGAGATATAACATTGATAATAAAAAGTATATATCAAAAATACGAATTAATTTGGACACTAAGAAAAAGAAAATCATTACAAAAAGGATGAATATAAAATTTATATATTTAAAATGTCAATACAAAATATAAATGTATAGAAGATCAATTTGAATTAAGAGATCAAAAGATTGTGGAAAAAAATAACTACCACGTGTGACGCTATGCGCATCTTGTTCAATAGTTGTGGCAAATTTTTGTACATCCTTTTACTTGTGCGCTTATTTTGTGCCTATTTTTTCAAATTGCGAACCATTGCGCATTTTTTTTTAATTTTTGTACATTTTTACATTTTTCAAGAGTAATCTTGATCTTTTCAAAATAAATAATAAAAAAATTCAAATTTTTTTAAGCGCATCAATATTTATTGATAAGTGAAATACAAAATAAGAAAACATCACAATTGCAATAATAATATTGAACATTAATGTAGTCTATTAGGAGACATGAAATTGACATTCTTAATTTTATCAAGTTATAAGCAAAACTTAAATTTAAAAAAATTAGATTTTTTAATGAATTCAATTTTGAGTTGCAGTTTAAGTTATAACATTTGTAGGATAAAAATTTTTAGGGATTTTCATATAGGCTAACACACATTTCAAAATGAGATTAAAACAAAATAAGATAACTTATATTGATATCATTACAATGGATATTATTAACTAAGGAATGATATCAATATGACATAAAAACTCAAATACTAAGACATTAAATGAAAAGTACATCATAAAAAGAGAAATACATCACAAACTATTAAAACACAATCACATCATCTAAATAAAAACATAACCAAGTACATGAATCACTATGATGGTCCCTGATCTAGAGGAGGAGGAGGTACCATATTGAAGAAACTAAAATAACTACTTATCATAAGCATGTTGGAACTAATATCATCCATTTGTTCTCTCATATACCCCATATCCTGATTGTACTGAATATCCTGATGCTGTAAGTGAGTTTTAATTTGATCAATCTTTGATCAAAATGAGACTCTAAGTGATCAAATCTCTGAACTAAATCCTGATAATTTAGTTCACTAGCAGGTGCAGGTTCCTCCTCTGAGTCACTAATAACATGTGCTTTATGTGGTTCATCTTTATTGAAGATTGCTCTAAAAGATCCGTCGTTGAAATAGAGAGGTTCTTCAAAATCTTGAACTGGATGAACCAATTCATACTTCTTCTCTAAACTGTAGGCAACAAGATGTCCTAAGGTAATGTTCTTCTTTCTTTTATGGTCGACATAAACAATTTCAGAAAGTCCATAAAGATAGTCAAGGATTAGTTGGGCTTCTTCTATTGGTTGCTTAGTCATAATCAAGTAGGTTACTGTAAAGAGAAAAGAAGTAATGTTGACTCTATCACCAGCTTCAGGAATTATTAAAGTTTGAAGAACATGCTGAATGATATGAGCATTACAAACAAGAGAGGACACTTTAGGCATATGCTCCTTAAAAATAATTCCTCTAATCACTTCATTAATTTAAAAATAATCAAAATCAGAAGTTATAGTCATTGTATGAGCTCTAATTCCCTCAGTCCTTAAGTTTAAAAAGATTCCTAGGTTAGCCTTGGTGATTTCAACTTTCTTCTTAAAAACATAGGACTTGATTACAGAATGGTCGGAGTTGAAGGACATGTTTGCTATGAAATAATGAAAGGTCTCTTTATTGTAAGGGTGGACTAGTGTGAGAATGAGACCAAATTAAGTTGAAGCAAACAAGTTTATTACCTGAAAGGTCTGTTGTTCCTTAATAAGAACTCTAGACGGGGTGATCTTAGTGGAGACAAATCTAAGAAAAGATTCTTCGTTGGCTTTGGACAGAAAATTATACGAAGAGTTTCTATATGGACCCTTGGCTAGAACCTTTTGTCGTTTGCTTGAACATGCCATGGATAAGATCTAAAGGAAGAAAGTGTTCTGAAAGGGAAGTGTGAGTGTGACTATTGAGTTTATATCCGGTCATTTTAATGAAATACGACTGTTCATACAAATGAAATTATGTTCGTCCCGTACAAAATTGAGTTCATCCCATACAAAAAAAATTTCTTATGGACCAACGAATGAGTCCAAAATGAAATGCCTTTTCATAATCACACAACTTACGAGGCATCCTTTTATATAGACTTTTGACCAAACAATCATACAGACGAACAGGTGTTCATCCTGGATGATAAAAAATTTATGATCGTTTTAATGGCAGTTAAAATCGTCCCCCACATCAAATCACCATGCGTTCGTCCGGACGTACCAAAGGTTCGTACATATGAATATAATATTAAAATAACCTTATCCGTTTTAATGACAATCAATCATACCGTCATTTGAAAATTTCATCCAGATGATCGTGAAGATCGCACAGATGAAGTGATTGAAATAACTAAAAACTACACGCAAACGGTTCAAATCTGACAGTTGACACACTACACAATTCATCCCGTACGAAAATATTTTCATCCTAGACGAATATCACTTAATTTTTCAAAAACATGCACTCAATCAAAATCAAAACACAAACACAATAAAAACACAATAGAACAATAAAAACGCAAACTCAAAATATAGAAAAATCACAAACTCAAAGATTCAGAGAAAAATTTTAATTAGAAACACACATTAATATTGCAGAAAACATTTTTATTAAGCATTCAGATCAATTACTCAAGGCCTCATTCTTAATGCACTAAAAGTATCAAAGGCTTAAAGTTTTATAAAAATGTCTGCAAGTTGATTTTCTGTAGAAACATGAATGAGTTCAATTTCTCCTTTGGATTCATGATCCCTTATAAAATGATGCCTGATGTCTATATTTTTGGTTCTTGAATGTTGAATAGGATTTTTAGAAATACAAAAAGCACAAGTGTTATCACAATAAGTTGGTATAGTGCCTATAGTTAATCGTAAATCAATCAACTATTATTTCAACCAAAGTACTTGTGCCACACAACTTCCTAATACAATGTATTAAGCTTCAGCAGTAGATAAGGCTATTGATTTTTTTTTATATTAGACCAAGAGACTAAAGAATTTCCAATAAACTAACATGTTCCAGAAGTGCTATTTCTATCCACCCTACAATCTACAAAGTTAGAATCCGAATAACCAATTATTTCAAAAGAAGAGCTAAACTTAGGATACCAAATTCCTAAGTTTTGAGTTCCTAAAAGATTTCTTAAAATCCTTTTTAATACTATCAAAAATGATTCTTTTGGATATGATTGAAATCTAGCACACAAACAAATACTAAACATGATATCGGGCCGGATAGCTATCAAGTAAAGCCAATATCCTATTATCCC